TAGTCATCTACCCTATTCTATGTGTCCTCCATGGGAAACGGATCGTGCAGCAACTCACTTACCCATTATAGGCTAAAAACTCACTGCGCACGTGACCTTATTCCGCGCTCGCCGCGGTGGCGGAATGGAAGCGGAATATTCAAAACTCACGAGACCGGAGTTTTCTGCAATCCCGCAGTCGCCGCGGTTACGATTATCGCTCGTAAACTTGGCGGTTGGTTATCATATCACAAGACGGGCGAACGGTTAAACAATCCGAGGCCTTAGTACGAGTATGTTTTACGTTTAAAGTAATCGTAGCGAGTACGCATTCGGCGCTCTGATTGGTTGCTTCATTGGCGCCGGCGAATTAGAGTGCCGAACGCGTACTCGTTTCGAATACTATAAACGTAAAAAAAAACTCATACTAAAGCCGCAGTTGAGTTCTAGACCGGCCGTCCCATTGCGATCGCCCGCCAACCGATCGCACAGCGCGCGGGTGCCAGCCGCCGAGGCTGCTGGAACGGAAGTCGCAAACAATCGCAACCGCCGCGGGCGTAGAACACGCTGAAAATTGCTGTGTTTTTTACAAACATATTATTATCTGTATTCTAGAGGTACAAAGGCTGCGGGCCCGCCACAGCGACGGGCGCGGGAGAAAACCGAGCGCCGTGACTCCTAAGTCTTAAACTGCAGATGTTCAACTCACCGTCTAAGCGTGTTTATTATGGTAAGCCCTCTTATGTAGGAGGTGAATTTAAATTATACACACTTTAACACGTCAATATTTCAAAACCATGCTAAACTAGCATTTCCTATCAGACAACTCGGAGAAGAAACACCGAAAGGAACTCAGAGGTCAAAGTCCTTCCATGTACATATTAATATCAATTTAAAACAAAAGCATGAAATGCCACAAAGGGTTCAAGATTACAATGAGTAAGATCGTAACAAACAATGAGTAATATTGACTCATCCCACTGAGGAGCAAGCTAAACAATTAAATATTAAATGGTCTTAAATTGCTTGGGCAGATCAATTTAGTAGCATTTCGTCTCGGGATCTCGTCTGCCCTACTTATTTTTATTCTGTATCACAGTTACAACCTGCTAGCAGGTTTGTTGAGCAAGTTGTAACTACATTACACCCCTAATTTCATGCGAGTGTTGCATTAAACCTTCTTTTCAGCCCAGTTTTACGTGGACTTGTACCGGTATCAATTTAAAAACCTTTAGTTAATTCGGGTATCAATTTCATTATTGAATTGTAACGTAACTAGATAATCGCGGAGAACCTAACGGGTAACCGGGGCTCCGGCTCGACATGCAGGAGAAGGAACGGGGTGGTTTTTAGCCAGTAAGAGTCTGACACTCCCTCCCGCCTCACCCAGGCGGGAGCAGTCATTCGATGATTTTCCCCCCTTAAAAAAAACGTAACTAGATATATTATTATGTTAAAAATACCCTGAACTTAACAAGGATCGTCAAGAAAGATTACCTTTTACCTCTCGACATTGTTAGAAGGAAAAATGTCAAGAGAAAATACTTTTTTTGTCATTTTACCTTAAGGAAAGTTAAAGTTAATTAACACTTGAGAAAACGGGGCAAAACTGCAGAGCATACCTTGTATCAGTATGTCTGTGTCAAGGAAGAGGAGACTAGTCAATGGCAATGACTGTTACGAAGTGAATTTCTTCAACATTTTCCTTAACTACGGGGAAGCCCAATGTTTACGTAAATTGTGAAGTTAGGTACCTGTTTACGTAAATATAGGTATTTCGACCTAAATTTACATATGTTAGGTACCTACCTATTTACCTGTATTTGTAGTTACATTCGTACCACAACTTAACGTGCCCAATATCACTACATAGTACAAAACAAAGTCGTTACCCGCCGTCTGTGTGCTTAGATCTTTAAAACTACGCAGCGGATTTTGATACCATTTTTTATAGATAGAATGCTTCTTAAGGAAGGTTTATATATATAATACATGCATATTGCACCCAGTGTATATTATTAAATAAAAAAAGAAATACTAATATTAAGTTGGTCATAAAATCAATAAATGAAAGTGTGATTATTTTTTAATATTTTACTGTATTGAACAGTCGAAATAGTTTACTTTTGACTAAGGAAAGTACCCAATTACGTGAGTAAGCCGAAAACAATCATTAACGCATTTAAAGTTTGAGTAAAATAAAGTCGTGAGTTTAATAAATTAAACAATGTATTTCATGTAATAGTTTTACTTGAGAACACTTCGAAGTAAATAGCTGTTTAAAATGATAATGAAAACAGGTTATATATGTCCTTGTAATACATAATAAATTAATTAATTAATTAATTGAGAAGGTACAAAAAACTGATAATTTTTTTTTTATAAATAATTCAGTACTTCAGCCAGCAACACTTCGGACGTTGTAAATGTAAAAAAACTATGAGTTTTTGTTTAGCCACAAAGCTTACTGCCCGCCTGATGGTAAGCGGAAAATGTAGCCAAAGTACACCTGAAAGTCCTGAAACACTAGAGGGATTCACCAGTGCGGATCGTATAGAAAAATATTTATTTGCGCCGTCGTTTCTAAGGAGAAGGACTCCTAGAAAATAATGCCGCAATCAAAAAGTGGGTGGACCATCTGGCAGTATCACTTACCAGACTGCAGTTAGTAATATTATCAGTTATACATCATGTTTGTATCCTGTGAGAGAATGGTATTTCCCAGATCAAACTGAGTCATTTAAACTGCATTAAGCAGTTAGCAAAAAGTGTAGGAGAGCTATTTTCCGGCAGGAATAGGCCGGCTCGACCGGAGTGATACCACGGCCTTTCAGAAAACCGACGTGAAACAACATTTGCGTAGTGTTTTAGCGTATGAGTGATGTTACCGGAGGCCCAATAACTCCCCCTTCCCCAACTCCCCAATCCCCGAATCCCCAACAATCCTTAAACGCAACGCACTTCTAATGCATCTCGTGTTCCGGGTGTCCCGAAACAAGGTGTTACAAATGCGTTACCGGCCTTTTGGGAATTGGGAATTTGAGGATTGTAGAGGATACGGTCGAAGTCACTGGGAATTGTGTCATTGGTATTTTCTGTATCGGACGTTTTTATGGCATAACTAGGTCGAAAAACTCGCATACGAACCTGATGGTAAGCAATCATCGCCGTCCATAGACACCTGCCTGCAATCTCAATCAATCAATCGGTCGGGATGCTAATGACAGCATTAGGTGTCGGTCGATGCAGACATATTAATTTTTTAATTAACTAGTTAGCGTTACTTACAGTCAGAGATTTTTGACCTAAGTACACCATCCAAGAGCCACGGAAAGCCTAACGGGTTGCCAGGGTTCCGGCTCGAAAAACAGGAGTAGGAACGGGGTGGATTTAAGTCGACTCTTACTATCTGACACTCCCTCTCGCCTAACCCAAGGCGGGAGAAGTCATTGGACGATTTTCCCCCTTAACTCGTCGAGTACCGGTTTTGTAGACACAATTATAGAACAATAGGTTGCGGTCACCGGTGACCGCTTGGTGTTTGACAGTTTAAGTACCTACACCATCCAATCAGGAAACAAGTAGTTAATCCAGTTTTTCGCATGCGACGTTGAATTTAAAAGATTACAGTATTGAGTTTCTACCTATCCTTACCGGCGGATCTTCTGAACAAATTCCGATTAAATAAGGTAAGAATATCGAGATAAAAAGTGGCTACCTGTGTTACTAAAACTAAAAGGTGAGCTTGAGTATTGGCGAAAGACTTTTTCAAAACGGTCCTGCAGTTTCGGAGCCTAGTTATTCAACAATACAAACAAATGATGAAATATTTTCCTCGTTGTGATATTATATAGTAGGTATTTAAGTAACTAATAGGTTAAGGATTCCTCATAGTTTCAACTTTGACTACATCTACTATACTAATATCACTATCACTAAATAGTATAAAACAAAGTCCGGCAGCTATCCACCGCCTGTCTGCCCCTATATATGCTTAGATCTTAAAAACTACGCAACGGATTTTGATGCGGTTTTTTTTTAATAGATAGTGATTGTTAAGGAAGGTTTATACGTATAATACATACATATTGCACCCGTGGTATAAATGCGAAAGTTGGTGGGTTTACCAATCACTTCAAAACGACTGAAGGGATCGAGATGAATTTGGGCAGTGATAAATTATGGTTTATATAACATATCGGTTCTTTTTATCCTATGGGAACGAGAAGCCGCATTACATATGAAACTAATTTCCTAAGTAGGTAGGTAGGTACACATAATTATAACGAATTACGTTAACATTATGAAATTACGCATACCTACATTCTTAAAATAAATTCATTCATTATTAAAATAGATGTAGGTACGGCGTTTTACAGGAAAATTCCATTGCCTAAATGTTTTCATGAAGTTGTGCAATATGCATATAATTTGGAACACACAAGCCAATCGGGCATGGCGTCCTACAAATAAAGGGAGACTAGGTATTTTAATAGGCAAAAGAAAAAAACTGAAGCTGTTATATGACATTTTAAATGTGTTTTTTGAGACTTCACAATGTAGGTAGGTACTTATCAGTGAAATGCAAATTAGTTTACCTACCTATTTTGGAATATTTGTTCGCAACCAGACAATACATTTGCTGCGAAAATAACCAAAATGATAAAGGATTGGTATATCGGCTTTATTGGAAACTTTAGAAGTTAAAGCCTATCAAGGTTTTCAAGTAAGTTTTTTACCTATCGTGCTAAAAGTTTGCAGAACGCAACTTTTAATCCTCATTGCAAAGTTCTGCCAACATAATAAAACTTTTACGAAACTTTTTCATTGAACTTGAAATCGAAAACGACCTTTTCGCAGAAACTCGTGTCATAAAAAAATCGAGCGACTATTTATGGTTCGTTTATAAAATGGTTCAAATAAAGCTAGGTACTTTTAGTTCAAAATCTTTTAAAACTACCGTAAAATCATATATAAAAATCCTTAAACAATAAAAGAAGTAAAATACAGCTATGACTTACCGAAATTAAAATATTCACAACAATCAGCTGTTGTACAGCTGACTTTTTAATTTATTAACACATGCACAGCACCAAAATTATAACTAGGATAACAATGTAAGATTTGATTTATTTCTATGTATAAACACAACAAACAAAGAAAGAAATTGGCCCGCACAAAGGCACAGAAATTCGAAAAATTGTTTCTCAGCCTGTCACAAGCTGTCAGCGACACACACGGACGAAGAACGAAATGAAACACGATTCACGAATCAAAACTTTTCTAGTGCTGCCATCGTAAAAACGTATTATATTTTAGTAACTTTTCTACGCTTTTCAGTAAAATTTTGATGTAATATCGCATTTGATGCACAAATACGTTCTAGAAATTATACTAACTATTTAGAATCTTGTAGAAATTAAATAAATTCTCTAAAATTTACCATTGTAAGTAAATGACAGCAAGTAGTTCCAGCACGAACTACTAGATGGCGCTGTAAGACAACGTCTTCTACCGGCGCGCAGTTTTTAAAAGAAATGTATTCTTCCTTTTTTTCACATAATTATTGTATATTAATATGAATAATGAATAATGATGAAAAATAATGAATCACAGCTCAAGTATTCAAATATTGAAATTATAATACGTATTTTTTTTTTATATATGGACTTGACAGTCAACAAGTAGTGTAATAATTTTCCACGAAAAAATGGAAATGAAACAACATAAATACTAAAATAAACCTCTTTAATTCACTCGCAATAACATATTATGAAAAAAGAAAGTGTGCGTTACCCAGGCCAGATGTTGTCGAAAATGGTCATTTGAATCTTATAGATAATTAGTTGTGCGGCTTCTGTAACGTTGCGCACATTTTTAAATTTGTTGCGCTTATAGTTTTTTTAATTATTTCACAAAAACATTTCCTGCTGGGGTAACGTTACCCCAGCCAGACCTTTTTCTTCCTAATGGGAATATTATTAGTTGCCTAGATGAAGTAAATGTTGTCCCTTATTTTGTATTTGTTCTTTCATCAGTTGCGAAGTTATTCGAGATTTTGCTCTTCAGATCTTTGAAATGGTTAGGTGGATTATTATTGTATTTTTACCGACTTTAAAAAAACGAGGAGGTACTACGTTCGGCTGATTGTTGTTTTTTTTTTTGTTTATGCGCGCAGTACTCCGCCATTTGTAAACCGATTTCCAAAATTCTTGTTTTGTTTGAAAGGGTATACTCCCGAGATGGTCCGATTTCCATGAAGTCAGGATCTGATGATGAGATCCTAGGGAAACCGAGGGGAACTTTCGAAATTTCTAGGGGCAAGTAATGTGTCTATTATGTTTTTCAATTAGGATTTTTAAACACTATAATTTGATAAGAGTCTGGAGTCGACCTGATGATGGAGCCGACAGATAGTCGAGAGAACTCCTCAACGGTTTATATTAACTACCTTGTGTTTGAGCTTAATTAATTTGTATTGATGAGGACTTTACACCTAGATAGAGTGCGGCTGTCATTAAGGGTCTGATAATGAAGTGTAATTTTTAAGGGAACTCCTCAACGGTTTACAGTAACTACCTTGTGTTTGGGCTTGTATAATTTGTATTGATTAGAACTTTGCACATAATAATATGTAGATTATAAGGGACAAAACTAATCTATGTAGTTTTACACTGAAAATAATAAAATATAAACTGCGTTTATAATACCGACTTCAAAAAACCAATTAACTCGTCGAGTACCGGTTTTGTAGACACAATTATAGAACAATAGGTTGCGGTCACCGGTGACCGCTTGGTGTTTGACAGTTTAATAATAACAAACAAAAAGCCAAAACTAAAAAAAAATATAATTAGTATTGATAGGTTACCCACCCATTAATAGGTTAGAAGTCGGTGCCATAAGTTCTATACTACGATTGAGATAATACGATTAAAGTCATTACGAAGTGAATGACCGTGATAACCCGACCAAGTTTAAGTGGTTACGAAAAAGCGAAACCGTATCAAAGATCTAGCAAACCGAAAACGTTACCCCAGCTAAATCTCGAGTAACTTCGCAACCGATAAAAGAATAAATACAAAATAAGGCACAACATTTACTTCGTCTAGACAACTAATTTTATAGCTAGTAATTATTTAAATATACCCATTAGAAAGAAAAAGGTCTGGCTGGGGTAACGTTACCCTAGCAAAATATGTTTTTGAGAAATAATTAAAAAACTATAAGCGCAACAAATTTAAAAATGTCCGCAACGTTACAGAAGCCGTAAAACTAATTATCTATAAGACCATTTTCGACAACACCTGGCCTGGGTAACGCACACGAAAAGAAAGATAAAACAAGATAATTCTAAGCATATTTTTGGTGTAAGAAATAAAATTTTATTGTATACAATACGCGTCAGCTTAACTAAAAGCAAAAAGAAAAACATAATTAATTAGATATTTACATTAGAATAGTTAAGGTTAAACAACAAAACATTATCGTAATTATTATAGTTAGCCATTTATTTGAGAACATAATTCAATAATAATTAATATGAAATCTGTAGCAAGACATAAAACTACGCAGTACGCTTGTTTGAACATGCCGAACTCCAGAACTACTGAACCAAATTGAATAATTTGGAATTGAACTTTTAGTGTTGGATTCTCCATTTATCGGCTATAAAACGTCACGATATGATCGATAGGAGCCAACTAGAGTGAGTAGAACTGCGCGGTAGCAACTAGTTTTAGATAAAAAGGGCCTGTTTTCATCCAGTCAAATATATATTCTAAAATTAATAGGTCGGCGTTTAGACATTATTTCTAATAATTGTTATCGTTAAATAAACTTTGCTTTTGACTTTTTATACCTTATTGTACAATTTTCATCCTTTTTTACAGAATAATTTAGCTTTAACCCATAAAATATTGAGTTTTAGATGTTAAGGAGTGCCATATAGGCTATCATTTGGCACAAACACTGGTCTTTCTCCTAAAACTTCGTCAGCTTGTCGGACGCTGGTACAAACTTGTAGCGGGGTGCGTTTTGCACTCCAATGCGAACTTAACCTTGCACTGCGTCGCACTGGAGTCACCGTATATTTTGGCGCGTCGAACTGATTTGATTGGCGTCTGAAAAATAATATTAAAATGCTTTAGACACAATAGACGTTAGTATTAGCTTTTGACCCCTAGCTTCACTAAAACATTTAATATATAGGGCGGTTAATGAGCAGTCGTATCAACTGATACCAATCGGCGCCGCCTATACACACACGCTATACATAGGAGTAACAATTGTATTACCAGCTTTCTGGGGGTAAAGAATATGAGGATTGGGGACGAGGTGAAACCTTTTTGTTTTTTTCTGTGCTTCTATAGTTATATCATTACTCAGAATTGTCAGTAAATAGAGTGAGATAGGGAGCGGGAGTGTGGCTGCATGCGATAGAATTGGGTACTTTTCTTAATCAAAAATAAATTATTTCGATTGCTCATTGCAATACTTATAAGATTATCTAGACACCACTGACAAACGGTAAAGGAAAACATTGTGAGGAAGCCTGCGCTTATAATTTCTAATTATAAGTTTGTAATCGCCAACCTGCATTGAGCCAGTGTGGTGATAAATGCTCAAACCTTCTCCGAGTGAGAAGAGGCTTTGCTGAGCAGTAGGCATTTAGAGGCTGTTGATTATGGTGATGAATACAATACAATGTTAAAAAATAATCATACTTTCATTGAATTATTTTAAGACCAACGTAATTTTAGTATTTTTCTAGAAAATTTTTGAGAAATAAGTATGCTGACGTCACCATACAATCTCGTTCAAAATTAATAGAAAGCTGTCGTTTTTGACAGTTCGAAAAAGGACTGAATTTGACTAGTTAGCAAGTACCCAATTATACAGACATATTTCTACACACTTAAGATTTGTTTATTACATTGAAGCGTGGGCAGGCCTCCCGCTAGGTGGACTGACGACATTGCCAGAGTTTCGGGGAGCCAGTGGATACAGGTGGCGAGTTGTCGGTCCACGTGGAAGACTAAGAGGAGGCCTTTGTCCAGCAGTGGACGTCTTTCGGCTTTTGATGATGACGATGAATAAACATTTCTCATAGATCCTGATCTAAGTATATTAATTGTTGTTCTCGCACCTTTAAATCTTGCCGTGAACATATTAGTGTCAATGTACGTCTGCCATACGACTTGGAAATATTGTACCATTTGAATGCTTTTCAATATTCTTAGTTTCTGACACCTCTTCATACCTGAATAGAGAGTAAGTACTAGGTAACTGCCTGTAAGAGAGTAAGGACTGCCTCATTGGCCGAGTGGTCGTATGTGCGACTGCCGGGTAAGGTGTCTTGGGTTCGATTCCCGGCTCGGGCAAAGTATTACTGGGTTTTGAAATATTCTCAGTAGTAGCACGGAGTCTGGAATTGTGCCCGGTATATGACAATAGGCTCACCCCCTATTACATGGGACTCGTAACATAAATAGTGAAAAGTGGGTGTTATATTGTACAGTGCTATAATGTGCACCTCTGCCTAAGTGCCTACCCCTTCGGGGATAAAAGGCGTGATGTTATGTTATGTTACTAGGTAACTATGTCTTAATAAATAATTTTGGATTAAAAGAAAGAAAAACTATTTATTGAGTCTTCGGCTTGGGTAACCTCACTCACAGTACACTTTTTATCAGTTATGTTATGAGTCCCATGTAATAGGGGGTGAACATATTGCCATAGTATTTTAATAGATGAAATGATACTCACAACTTCGCTTGTTGAACAGCAAATCGTATAATAGTGCTTTTGAATACGTTTTTGACGTCCACTAGCTTGGGGTCCACCTGGCGCCGCTTGCCGTGGCTGTTCGGACTTATCTTCAGCTGCATAAATTTATCTAGGAGCTGGTCTAGATTGGCTTCTACTACTGAACGCTGAAATATTATAAAAATTGTGTTAATAACAGTGGCGTATCGAGTCTTGACGGAGTCCCATATAAAAATTAGTTTGGGGGCGCCTGTAAAGGGTAAATATTTCTAACAAGAGAAATTTTCTTTTTGCGATAAAATTGTAATAATTTGTTCGAATAGTGGAAATCTTTCCATCTACCTCCCTCTGTCCAAATTATCGAACTATGATTTCTTTTAGTTTTCCAAAAGTTTCTACCATCCTTTGAACGCAAGCTTAATGCGTAAAAAAATCTTTTGTTTAGACGATTTTTATTACTCGTGTTATAAGTTTTGTATTAACTTTCGGTGTTTTAGTATATTTTGTCAACTTTGTGTCAGGGTATGTTCCCAGCCAAAAGTTTAATAATACTTTACCCAACCCAAGAATCGAATAAATATATATTATTCTATAGTAACTTGTTTATCAATAGCATTTTTATTTTTAGCAATTTGTTTAGTGCTTATTTGTCTTCACACTCGGTGTCGTCGCACTGGCCAATCAAGCTGCTCTACAACATGCAGCGTGTTCTAAATTTGTGATTCATAAATGGATTCAAAACACTACAATATAGTCTCCTAGACATAAATATCAGACAGTCACCTCAGTCCCCTTAGCAATAGCTTCCTCCCAACATTGCACGGACGCTGGCAGATCTCCTCGCGTCTCTTCGAGTGCTGCGCGACATTCCCAGTAGGCGGCGCTATGTGGAGCCGACGGGAAACGCTCGCGTATCGCACGCAGCCAGCGCGCGCATTGTTCCCAGTCGAAACCCTGAAATAATTTAAGAAAAATTTAATTTTGTACTTAATAACAAGAAAAATCTATTTATGGCTCGATATGACAATAAATCTAAGGCCCTAGTGAAAAAGGTCTAAGTACAATAGTGCATAATTACAGGAGACGCAAAAATCGCTCCGTACGCTTCAAATACGTGTTTGACCTCTTGTGTCAATTAAACGGCTACATAATACAATACACGTGAAGTTTTTTTTTATAAGTAGCACAAGTAACAGCTTGATTTATGAAGCCATTTTTTCTGATGTATTTGGTGTTATTAGTATTCATTTTCGACTAAACTGGACTCATATCCATTTTCTCTAAGGCCACAGAAATAACATCTCGGGAGAGTACTTTTCAACCATTTAAATTATGATTTCCAAACTATCTGTTATTCTGTTAAGCATGAAGACTGATGGAGATTATTGCTTAAGGCTTATGTAGAAGAGTTTTATCGTCCAGCAGTGAAGTCACAAGATGTTGATGTGAAATTAGATCTACCGTGTGCGTTACCCAGGCTAGATGTCGAAAATCGTAATTTGAATCTTATAGATAAGTAATTGTTGCGTACATTTTTAAATTTGTTGCGCTTATAATTTTTTAATTATTTCACAAAAATATTTCCTGCTGGGGTAACGTTATCCCAGCCAGACATTTTTCTTTCTAATGGGAATATTTAAATAATTACTTCCTATAAAATTAGTTGTCTAGATGAAGTAAATGTTGTGCCCTATTTTTCAATATTTTTTATAGGGGTAATATTTTAGTTTTTTGTATTTGTTCTTTCATCGGTTGCGAAGTTATTCGAGATTTTGCTGGGGTAACGTTTTTGGTCTTGCTAGATCTTTGAAATGGTTAAGCAGATTCTTATCATATTTTTTTTATAGCATAAGCCGGTATACGAGCAGACGAATCACCTGATCATAAGCTATCGGCGCCGCCCATGGGCACCCGAAACTGCAAGGTGTTACAAGTGCGTTACCGGCCTTTTGGGAATTGGGAATTTGACTATTGTGTGGGATTCGGGGATTCGGGAGACTTGGGAGGGTAATTGGGCCTCCGGTAACCTCATACGAAAAACACAACGCAAGCGTTGTTTCACGTCGATTTTCTGCTCGGCCGTGGTATCACTCCGGTCGAGCCAGCTAATTCGTGCCGAAGCATGACTCTCCCACACTTAGAACTCATATTTGGTACATGGCTTCTTAGGAATTAGTTTAAATTTGTTTTGGAATAAAAAACCTAAATAACACATAGCCTAAAGGTTATTTCATTATCAGTAAAAGTTCAGCTCAGTACATTGGATAATTAATGAGTTAATACGATTAAGGTCATTAGGAAGTGAATGACCGTGGTAACCCGACCAAGTTTAGGTGGTTACCGGTTGCGAAGTTAGTTGACTATAAAAATGTAGGTAGATACCAAATAACTTACCTCTTTAAGCAACTCGGTCAAATCATTTAATGCACCGATCACAACTTCATCTAAATTAACGATATCACTGCATGTAGCAGTAGTATTATGTGAATCGTTGAAATCTTCACTGTCTGTCACACAGCTAGCATTCCTCCACCTTTGCGTACTGGCCTTCGGGTCCTCATTCATGTTCTCCGTGTAAGAATCATCATCGCTGTCCGATTCAACCGCTATATTTTCCTTGTTTTCCTCATCAAAAAGTTTAGTGTCAAACTTAATAGTCTGCGGTAAATGATGTATACCGAAACACTGCAAATGATGGTAGGAATCCAGCGATTTCCCTCGCTTTTGTAGCCAAGATTTCAACCTGGCTTGTAATTCCTCGGGACGAGGGGTGTTGAGATTGCCCATCGGAGTCATAAAAGTGACTTTTTTTCTCTCACTCTTGACCGCAGACACTACTTTTTCTTCCTGTATATTCTCATCTTCATTGATATGTTTTAAATGTATGTTATTTAACTTGTCACCGATGGAAGCCCATTTATGAATGCAATTGCCAAGTTCCTGCTTTCCAATCCGCTTGAAATGGACAGCGGAGATTGATCTACGGACTGGCACTGCTATCTTCGCTTTGGCTGGCTCAAAAACTGTGTGCCGTTTGTTCAAAATTAATCCAGAGGTCCGAATCACCTTTTTCAAGTAATTTGGATCTGTTTGCAGTTTCTCAATCTCATTTTTGTGAGAATTTTGAACCGGTTTGGGTTTGTAAAGGCGGTCAAAGACTGATTCTGACTTCGAAGCACTTTGAGGGATCATGGACTTGCGAGGTAAATTCGAAGATGGTTTATTGTTGGCCACGGCCAGAGTTTGACGGATTTTAACATTTGTTGTTAGACTTTCAGCCTTTCTGATGGGAAAGTTTTGCTTTTTGTCAGCAAAATTGGCCAACTTAGGTTTTTGCAATTGACTGACACGGGGAACTTGAGGTTTATTGCCCAAGACTGGGTTTTTGTCAGTTGTGGAGAGTTTCATCTCAGTTTTATTAATAGGCTTCTTATTATGAGTAATGTCGCCATTTTTTTTATTAACATTGGCAGCAATACTAGGTTTATTCATCATTTTGGGAATGTTGGATGTTAATTTGACTTCAGGTTTTGGATTAACCTCATATTTCTTTGGTTTCATCGGTACTGAGACAGGCCTCTTAGCAGCACCGTTCACATGCATATAATTTTTTACAGGTCCTGCGGAGAGAATTAATTTGTCAATAGGGTAAAAGTAGATGACCAATTTTTTTCCTAATGTCCGTATGGAAGATTATTTAAAAATATTAGATTCATATTTTGTATTTTCTTACGGAAACAATTAATACTTTCAACGGTATATTCATTTATAATATCGCGTGGCGTCACGTTGTACGTTTTATACTCAAACATGACGTAGCTAGGTCACACTCCTAAACTTTGATTCGTTTTATATTATTATTTTCTTATATGACAAAATAAAAAAGAATTCATCTAATTGGACCAGTAGTTCCTATATTAGCATGTTCAAATATAATAAAAAAACAAATGAATGTTTCAGTTTTATATAATAGTTTACAATTATATCTATGGTCGGTGCTGACGGCCAATATATAAACTTGGTATCAGGGCTGACCACTGTGTGCGTAGAAAGCATGTGTCATTCATTCAATAACACTTCGTAGCTGCCCAGTCTAGGGGTCACCGGCGACCCCTCTCCAGTTACTCCATTATATACCTGGATGTTGTGGACTTTTCCTAATCATGGATTAACTGTTCAATCCCCAAGTGGTCACCGGTGATGGCTCTCGTCTAACTCTATTTTAGACCTTATTTACGATGATTAGAGAATACTTTTGTGTGTACTTGGGTATGATATATCAACGACTTAAGAAGCTGTGCCTCCAGCGTCAGACGAAAACCAGCCTAATGTCTAAGTGGAAAGATAAATTATTGCAATAGTTACCTGCACCATTATTTTTCAAATTCACTTCGGATTTAACTGACTTATTAACTACAGAGAGGTTTGAAGCGGAATTCTTGAAGTCTTCGTTTTTGTTGTACTTCTTCAAATTAAGTTCACGAAGCTGAAATATAGAAAATAATTAGTTATAAGTAATTTGGTTTTCTCATCTTATCTTATACTATTATATAAAGCGGAAGAGTTTGTTTGTTTGTTTGAACACGCTAATCTTCGTAACTACAAGTCTGATTTGAATAATTCTTTTTGTGTTGGATAGCGCATTTATCGAGGATGGCTATAGGCTATAAAACATCACGCTACAACCAATAGGAGCTGAGCAGTGCGTGTGAAACCACGCGGCGGAGGTAGCTAGTCAACTATTAAGAGTATGCTGCTAAACAAAAGCCTGGGCCTTTAGCCAAACGCCACTTTAGCGCTTGTCTACAGAGAGAGTAGAAATCAAAATGTATGGGGATGACACTGACAAGTGTCAAAATTTACGTCAATCCCATATAATTTGGTTTTCCATTCTACATGTAGACAAGCGCTAAGTGGCATTTGGCTACAGCTGCTGATGTTAGAACTGGAACATACTATCTGTTGCAACAGAAAGCACCAGTTATTTGCTATATCATCTTGCAGAACAGTCAGTGGAGCTAAGCCCCGTTAAGATGCACAATGAAACTTCTAAACCGATTCCTGGATTCAACTCCAGAGTGTGATGTGTTTTTGAGTGAAAGAAGATTATTTTTGTTGTTGAAGTTTTCTGAAAGAGATGAATTAACTACGGAATCCAATAATGATCGATTGTTTAAATGAAATCAACCTATTCATTTTATTATCCTGTCCCAAAACATATTCTAAAACATATAAATTGTATGCCAACCGTGTATGACGCGTTTAAACCTAAGATAGACTTGCAATGCAACCATTTGATTAAGAATTCAATTTCCTGGCTTACCTTAGCAATTCGCTCCTTTTCTCGGGCCATTCTCTCCTCCCTCAGCTTGTTTAAGCGCTCAGTCACTGATGTTGACTCCATTGTCAACTAATTTAGTTTATACACAGTTAAAATCAAATTCTAAAGTCCAACGGTTTTTGTTATTTGTTTGCAAATAATAGCAGTTTCACTAAAACACTTTTAAAATTATATCGAGCTCTCTGAGTTTGTCACAGCCTGCTGCTTATTATAAGTTCACTTATAAAACACGAAATTGCAACGAAAAATGCTTCGTATTCAATTTATTTTAAAATAATTTCAGAGCGTCAGTTCTTCAAAATCTTCAACTGATGAGAAATGACGGTTGGACTTGGATGGAAACGGACGTTGTTCAAAAATCAAAACAATTGTGTAGCCGCGTTCCAGCTCAGCGATTATAAATATCGCTATTTGTAGCATTGTTTTATTTAAAGCTGAGTTCTCACTTTACTGTTACATTGTCAGAAAATAAGAACATTTTACTTTTTTTTCGACCATTGAAAAAAGTCTTGCATTCTAAAATATGAAACTATTTTCAATAATCTATTGAACGATGTTTGTATAAGGATATTTGCGTTATCTTTTTCAGACTATTTTAACCGGCAATACACGCCGGTTAAAAAAGTAAACACCACAAACTGATAAGGAGAAGTAGACAGAACATTAGTCAAAATTTTTGAAACCAAAACATACACATGGGCAAAAAAGCTTATACGGGGCCGGTAACTACACAGAGATAAGCGTGAGTCCTATGGGACTCATAATATAAATAGTGAAAGTGGATGTTATTATACCGTATGTAGAAAACTCTTATACATTTATTTATGCAACATACTTGGTATCGTCTATACTGACAATGTACAAAAAATTAGCAAAATCGGCCCAGTAGTTAAGCCAAAAAGTGCATTTTTCTCTTTGAGAAAACGTAAACACTCTTTAAGTTCATTGACGCAGGTCAATGCACTCCAATGCGCGACGTTGCCACTTTTCCTGTTTCGGTTTTCAAAATGAGAAAAGAATTGGTATAATCCTAACCAGACCCAAAATAATATGATAAGTATGTCACTGCACCGTCCACTAATCCACATTTTAAAAGAAATAATCGCGATGAATCTTTAATTTACACTGTAGGTACGCACATTAAGCTATGCTAAACCAGTATAAACTGATCGTTGAATATGAAGAAAGATCATACAAAACGAGACCAAGATAAAATGGTTGTTGTTCTTGTAGGTACTCGCCGTCTGTGTTAAACTATTTATTTGCCATATTCAATGAAGATGTCGATTCACGAGTTTGATTGAAAAAAAAAACACCTCAATTCCATTCGGCTCTTGATTTGAAAACTAGAAAACACGTTTCATAAACTTTTTGTGTACCTACACAAACTTCTAGCCGCTTACGACTAGTTACAATACCTTTTATTATGAAAAGAACGAATAAAATTACCTTTTTCAGTTACGCCTAATCCGGGCTAACACACGTTTAGTTTACGCCTTAAAAAAATCTTTAAACGACAACACGGATATCTCTCACTTGTTTAATTCATTTAAACACACATCACTGATCTTACTGTTGCAATTTTCCATAATTCATTTACAGTTACAATTACAATTTATTTACTTGCACTCAGAAAACCAATCAAAACAAAATTCCGCGTAAAGCTCAAGTAGGTATAAATTGTTTTGTTTGCAATGAAGTAGTAGTTCCTACACGAACCACGCTTACACAATGGTTGGGTGGCGGCGCTGGTGGCAGTGAAACCAACAGTGAAATTGTGCAAATATCGATTTCACAAAGAGTGTTTGGCATTTTGTAGTAGTTCGGCAATTTCTCCATAGATGGCACTATTACAATTTCTTCAAATTATGAATCAAAATTTATTAAAATTACGAATTTATTAAGGAGTCTGACATTTGTATCGAATTAATGAGTGAAATTACGTATTTATTTACCTTTCTAAGTCGATTACCACATTTAAGAATCTCTTTCTGCCAATATCGTCTAGTTGACACGGAAATTGTACAAATATCGATATCACAAAGAATGTTGTAGTAGTTCGGATTTTTTTCCATAGATGGCACTTTTTCAAAAACCAAATTATGAATCAAAAATTTATAAGTTAAGAAATTCGTCGAAAAGTACGAAAGTACGTATTTATTTACCGTACGTATTTCTAAGCCGATTATAACATGTAAGAAAGAGAAGATGCGAATATCGTCTCGTTGACACGCACTTGTCAGTAAATAATGAAGTAGGTAGGTAGTCACAGTTGTAATACCCTTGTTCATAACATTATTGCAACCAAATGTCGGGTAGTTAACCGTTATCAAATATTAATTTAATAATTTAATTTATTCTTCAAAGATACCTATTAAGTACCTACATCGGAAAACAAAACTAATAGGTACAGTGGCCAGCAGATCAACGTACACATCTGACAAATTTATTAATTGGATTTTCGACTTTATGTCAATACGATAAAGTTGAAGTTACCGTACCACTAATAAATAGGTGTAAGTACATCAGCAGTGCCGTGTATGTAATAGCCGCACCAGCGGTCGGTTTCTTTTGACGGCTTTTGTCAAAGATACCGCCGCTTGCGGCGGCATCGTGAAAGGGGTAGTTTCCCTTTCAGTACGCCGCGTTTGTGATCGAATGAGTTAGAAAATAAAATTTGTTCATCAGTTCACTGCTAGACTTCCGGGATAGTGTGTGTGCTTTTCGCTAATTTCCGACGGGTTACGCGCGCGTTGTGCTAAACGATTGTTGTTGTTTTTTGTAATTAATTATTATTTTAGTTCTTAGTTTTTTTAATTATTACCTAGTTTTCTTTACTGTGAACCGGACACTGACATTTGTACTTTTGTTAACTGTGTATTTTATTTTATTTATTTAACTTTTAATTGTGTGTTTACGTGTGTCTGTGTGTTGTGCCGAAATGCCGCGATATTATTACATGGTGAATGTCATCGTTAGCGTCGGCTCTGCGAACTTATCGGGGGAGGTATGGCGCATCTCGTCACTGTTCGATTGATGTTTGTACAAAGGCTTAGAGAAAATCTGCCCATAGTGCCCAATACCCATGATGGAGCTTTGCTGGTCGGCAAACTTCATCGATCTTGGAACAAAGGGTTTTAGCCTATTTCCGCAATAACCCAACCTGCAGTCTTAGGCAAGCAGGGCGTACGTTCCGTTATCGTCCAATGGTTCACGAGTTCAAAGAGTGAATGAGCCCCGTCACTGCAGTGTTACTACCAAGCCGCGTCACCCGTGCCTTCCATAACGTATGCGACGTTGCCGCTCTTCTGAGGTCAAGGTACGTTGTTACACAGAGTGTTATACTTTCTTGAATCTATTTTATTATTTGTTTTGTTTGAAAATTTCACTTTTTTAATTTAAGGTTTTCGTCTAAATCTTTGGTCGTGTTATACTTCTGTGTAATAATACTACATTATAGTTCATTTATTGTATAAGTCCGTGCCACATACTGTATGTAATAGGGGGTGAGCCTATTGCCTTATACCGGGCACAATTCCAGACTCCGTGCTATTACTGACAATTTTTAGAAACCCAGTATTTTTTGTATAAAAATTTCAAATAAAGTATTTTTGTCACATCGGTACGCACTGCATTATTGCACGCGTACGCATTATTAGATTGGTTCTTGACAGAATAAGGAAAAAGATTGATGGATATCATTTACGTATAACTAGGATTTAATATTCAGTATATTGCAAGTCTGTGGTAAAACCCAATTACGAATTTATGTGGTCCAGACTTTCTGTTGTTATGTTATGTGAATAAATGAACTCAACGCTCGAGACTGGCGATTCGAAAAATTCGTGTGGTCGATGTTTCTATCGTTGTAAACGTCATAAATTAAAATATAAAACATATATTCAATAAATCAATAACATCTGAGGCGTACAGCGTACAAACGTAAAAAAACTAAGTTTTTTTTACGTTTTGAGGAACCGAAATGAGACCACGTTCCACGCTCTGAATGATTGGTTCTTTAGAGCCGGCCAATCAGAACGCCAAACGCGGTCTCGTTTCGATTTCGCTACATTTAAAAGAAACTCGTACCTACTAAGACCTCTGCTTCTGTTATCGTTTGAATTTGAACTGGTCGTCGAACAGCTGGACCATCTTTTATTAAATTTTTTGTCTAAATTATTTAACAAAATATACGTAGTTTTATAGTCAATTTACATTAACCAGTAAGTAAAGCGTTACTTATTATATTTAACGGTCCCGAGTGTATTCGTATCCTAATGTCAGTGACCTACGGTTGTCAAACGTCGTCAATGCTCAATGTGTTGTATTCATCTCTCACAGTGTTCTGGAACGCGACAGAAAATGGCTTCGTTCGGAAATAACCCCATGTAGAGAAATGAACACTAAAGCTAAGTTTACGTGTAAAATTATTATTTAATACTTCTTATGTGTTAAATAGTTCTTCTTTATTGTAAAATTACTCTGGGAACATATTTGCTGAAAATGAAATATAAAATAAATAGAAACTAAATTCTTATTGGAATCGAAACACGTTCAAAAGATTGCCCATACTGCCAACGTAACAACAACCACACAGTCAGACAGTCCTCCCTCTGTGACGTTGGTACTTCTGTTAGTGCTAATGTCCGCTAGGGTCACGAGTGCGCGCTAGTGAATGCATTTTATGCGAATTATTGAATTAAACAAGGATTAGTTTCGTGTCAAGTAAAATTACAGGTAAGTGAATAAATACTAATTATTGTTTTAGCCTCTTTTATGTTTTCAAAGCGTTTTATAAAGCAGTATGTTCAGAAAAAAAGAAATAAAAAAGTCTGTCGGCGCACCGGCCGCGCGAAATCGTGAGATTTTTGCAAACAGGTTTTCCTCGGCCGCTTTTGTTTTATAAACTTTATTTTAACTGCATAGCGAATCGACTTATATCAGTGAATACGGCTTGTTAAACTCCTTACATTGTAAAATGAAACCGTACAAACTTTACAAAACTTATCTTTCCAATTAAAATAAATATTATAATATTGATGAAATGATGAACCTTTAAAAAATAAAAGAGATCTGATAAATTATATTTTGAATAGGTTATTGTAGGTATGTTAAAAATAATATACAAAAAGTTTATTTCTAAATAAGGTACTTCCAAAAATTATACGAAATGATGAAGTGGGTAGAATTTGATCAAGTTTGACTACGGTTTTAAATTTCGAAATTGTCTCGTGCACAATCTGTAAACAATTTTAAAATAGAGATGAGATCATTGAAATATTTTAAAACTATGTCACTATTAGTGACTATGATGTTTGTATAAATATATCGATTGCTATCAAAACATTAGTCGATTTATAACAAATGAAATTAAACAATAGACAATGAATCGAGAGGAAAAAGTATAATATAATTATACATACAAAGTTATTTCTGTCTGATAAAATGTATGTTACACCTTTCCTTACTACTTATTGGAACATAAATTTGTTTTA